CCCACCCCCAATGGCTGCCTTGCCCAGCCCCAGCTCCCCACTCTTTAAAAAAAAGTCCCCCTTACGGGCTGCTGCCAGGCAGGGAGGGAGATCCCCATTGCCCCCCACTGCCCCGTGCTGCATGTGGGCTCTACATTGAGCCACCGACCCCTGCCCACTCTCACCACCCCCACCATGGCTGCCCCACATGGTCCCACCTCCCGATTCTTAAAAAAAAAAAAAAGCCCCCACTTACCGGCTGCTGCAGCAGCCTTGGAGCTTCTGGGGACTCGTGGCAGAGCCCCTCCCCCAGGTCAGTGTGGGGTAGTGGGGGAGCTGGGGCCAAGGACGGAGGCCTTTGAAGGGGCTGGGAGAGCGGGCGCAGGATGGGGCCTGTCCGTTTCGGACATTCGGCCAACATGGCAGCGGCCAGATCTCCAAATCAGATTTGGCTGAATTGATTCGTGACAATGATTTGAATTACCAGATCAAATCACTGTCCCCTGATCAGCTGAATCCTAATCCAAAGTAAATACTAGCTGCTTTGCACAGGCCTACAGGTAGACATTTCCTAAGACAACTTTTTTCCATTAAAAAAAAAAAAATTGTCATCACAAGTGAGCAGAAACTGTTCCATTGTGACTAAACTTCTCATGGAAGTCAGGGCTGTTTGCAAAGGGCGTGTCTATATGAGATGCTTTGCTGCACATAAGATCACATTACTGCCCAATAACCATCAATGTCCACATGTGCAGACCTTTACTGCACAGTTGTTTGCTCTACTGAGCAGTAAAGCAAATTACAACCTGCACATAGCAAATTGCAGTAGAGCAAATGCATCTAGCACGTTAACTGCTGGGTAGTTACTTGGTAGAAAACAAATGTAGGTGACCTACTGAGAGCAAAGTTGCTAATGGTCAGCTGGGCAGCGGGAGACAGTGAGGTGGGGACATGTTGTTGCGTTCCCCAGGGAGCTGCCTGCTGCCTGAGTGTGTTCTGGTGGTGTAGCACAGGCTGGGACAACAATCCCCTACCCCAGCAGCAGGGAGCTTCCAGATCTCATGGTATAATCACAGAATGAGGGCTGAAACCTTCTTGCTGCCGGTGCACACCCAATGCAACCTGCCTGATGTCTTTCTATCTCACCTTCCCACCTGCTTCCCTGGTGTTCCATATGGAGAACTTGGGACAATCGAGACCTAACAGCTGACCCAGGCTTACTGACACCTTTCATGCCCACCTGGTAGAAATAGTGCAGTCAGGGCTGTGAAGGTTTCTAGGCTATTTTATGGCATCTTTCGGGGCTTGCCATGGACCTGGGGTTCCCAGGACTTTCAGACACTGGCACAAGATGCTGAGGAATTTCATTTCTGTAAGAAGTTATCAGGTGTGGGTTTTTCCCCCCACACTGGTTTCAAAATACTTCCAAAACCACAATTCCAAAACCATAGTCTTTTTCTGCACAAGTGAAATTCAGTGCTTGACAGGCTTTAATAGCATAAAACCAGAATGGTAGGGTATACAGGAGACCACACATTTCCCAGTGGATGGATGTCCTAAACATCTGACAGGCCAGAAGTGAACTGACTCAATTTACAGAGGAAGTGTTCCCAAGGCATGGAAGAAGGTTGCCTGTATTGTTTCCATCTTATAATTGTGCCTACCATGTGGAGACCAGCTCCTTAACACTTTTCCATTCTACTGCCCATTCTGTATTATCTAAGTGTGTTTTTTTTGTTTTCACATCACCAAGCCAAGATTTTCTTTCGTGTATCTAACTCCCCCACATTGAGCGGAGAGCTTCAGGGTCCACGACTGTGGGTTATATAATACCCAAAGTCCTGCTGTATTCTGGGGCCCAGTGAGTCATGGGATCACTGTTCATCCAGAGTAGGAATGTGTTTTTAAAGAAAGATACTGCAACCACATGTAAACTAACAAGCTTCCACTCAGCTCATGTCCCAGCTTTGTCTCCCTCATTCCCCAGATGCTGTACTCTGCTTAAAATTGCACACAGCCCACACAGACATCTAGTATTTGAGTGATATACTGCAAATAATATTTCATGTTAGCCTCTTCCTAGAGTCATCAGAAAACACTATTTGCCCTCTAAAACATTGAAAGGACTCCTATCAAAGCTGTAGCGATTCCTCCCCTATGAACTTATGGTAACCCAAAACTCCTGTTGATATCAATAAAATTAGGCAGACAACTCCAGGGACAAGTGTAGCAAGCTGCCAGTGAAGAGGTGTAGCTGACAGATCTGGTAAAGAAATACAAATAATGCATCATAAAAATTGACACCAGCTAATACAGAGAGTACTCTGGCACACGTAAGATAACTTGGACAGGGAAGGAGGGAAAAGGCTTGTTTGGACATCTTTAAAAATGGCTCCTAGAAACTGTTGTACTTGATGAAACACACTGAATTGGGTGGGAGGAGAAGGGAGCAATATGTGAAGAAGACGGCCATTGGTGCTCCTAGGAGGACCAGGCTCAGGCCCAGGCCCCTGTCCCTGGGAAAATGTTTTGAAAATGACAGAGTTCTTTTGCAAAAACTGTATGAAGCAAGTCGTGTACATAGTCATGGAAAGGGATGATGCAAAGTCAACAATAGATGAACTAATGATTGGAGCAGGGTCCCAGGGAAATGTTAGGAGGAAAATGCTTAGTGACGGTGTGCAAGCTTAATATGGCAACATGGTTTGCAAACCTAGGCACAATTCAAGGGTGTCATCACTGTTCCATAAGATCTCCAAGTTTTGGAATGAAAAACTCTTCCTGTTCAGGGCAGCCAGGCTGCTGTAAATACCCTTAAATGTACTCTGTTTGCCTCTTGTTTCTGCTTTTGTATCAGATGACATGGAAATACTAAGCACATAGTCAACTAAATTTTACAGTCAAGTAGAACATCCACAACCAGCTTTCCATTACATAGATATGTCCCAAATGTGCTTGTTATAAATACTAATGCTGCTTCATCTGAATATGGGGGGAAAGAGAGCAAAACAAAAGACTTGAAATGTGTTCAAATTAAAGTGTGCTTTGGCATATAACTGAATGCTCCTGGGAGAAAACTACATCTCGCTCTGCCAATCAAACACTCAGTGTCATATCTGAATCAATTCTTCCCACTGCCACTGTCTACAGTCAAGTAAGTACTAATAATACCACCACTGATTAACACTGGATCCTGGCATTAGGAGGCACAGGTAGACCCTGACATTTAGCTGCCTTGCCTTGCATGGTACAGAACAGCACTGTCCTGGCAGTTGGAGGTACCAAGGAACAGACTCATAGGGAAAATGCCAAATGGCCAAAGTACCTTCATGTGACTTCCCACAGCAGGCTGAGATGTGATTTTCCAGCTGTTTTCTGCAAGGACTGAAATGTGGTAGTTTCCTGTTCCAGTTTTTCATTGGAACAGATCACCTGTGCATCATCTTAATATGTGTGTGTGTTTGCTATACTGAGTATACAACACAGGGTCATGTCCGAACAAAGCAGCACAATCACTATGGAAAGTGCGTTATGAGTATGGGTAGGACAAGGAAATACATTTAAGTTGCATTCACTCTCATGGGGATGCATTAAGGCTCTGACCCTGGAGGTCTGGAGCACAAAACTTCTTCTTTTTAAAAAGATGGACTAGGCAGCTCCTTAGACCTTTATATTTAGGAAATGCAGGAAGATCTTTCCAAATTCTTAGATTATTTTTCTCCCCCTCTGAGATATAGACTAAGCGGTGCAAAAACTGACTGATTTACTTCCAGGGTATGTAACTTTTTTGTTTCCTTTTTTTTTTAAGTCTCAACTGTTCCAATGAGAACAAGCTCAGATTTCATTTAAAATCTATGACAAGGAGCATAAAAAGTACGTGTAAGGGGCATTTATTATGGATGGTAAAGGAACAGTAAATTGGCTGGTTACAAGCTGCAGGGATGCACTATGCTACAGGATGACTCTGGTGAGAAATCCCATGGCAGAGGTATCATGCGACGGATGGATTCAGTACATAGCGCACAGCCTGGGTGTGAAAAGTTTTTCATGGTGGTAACAGAGAAGTGTGAAGGTCAAGTGCTGTTGTGAAACCATGATAATGTTACCTTTATTTCTCCTCCACAGATGTGGCCTGCCCCCAGTCTCTCTTCCTTCTGGCTGATGAGCCCTCGTGTTTCTCTGCTGCTCAGGAAGGTTCTGAAACTTCAGCTTAGAATAAGTTGCCATTTCTTTCTGTTTGACTGGGAAGATAATGGAACAGAAAGTTTAGACTTGGCTTTGCAGAGGCTGAGATGCACGTAACAGCAGGCTGTCTGGTTTGTCTATTATTCATGGGGGAAGATAAGATTTAGGAAAGTCTTTGGAAATGGAGAGAAGAGACGTGTTGTAGCCTTGTTGATGCAGAAGCCAAAGCCAAAGGGACCCCAAAAATATCACATCTGAGATGGGAGGAAATGGAGAAGAATTTAGGGCCCAATGATGAGGAAGTCT